GCGTGGTCTGTCTCAGTCCCCAGTTTCACCTGGTTTATCTGTGTGCGAATATGGGACCGACCAGTCAGCCAGCTGCCTTGTGTGCAGTGCCTCGCTTCACAGTCGCTGCCTCACTGTGTCTGCCTGTTGCCACCCTGCTCCCAGGGTCCACCCACCACCACCTTGTGCTCCTGGGGTGCCTTGCGCACCTGGTGCCACTGCTTTTTGTGTCACTGTCCCTCTCCACCCGGCTGTCCGACTCTGCCCCGCCTACCGGTCTGGATGAATGTGTCTATCTTTTAACTCCTTGGTTGTCCAACTTCCATACAGTTCAGTTTTCTGTCAGTTCTGGTTGTTGTTTTGTTTCTGAATTGCTGTCCTCCTTATTTTGGTTGTGGGAGGAGGCACAGTGTGTCTACCTATACCTTCATCTTGGCCAGAAGTCTAGGCTTTGTTTTAAAAGTTGTTATTTTGTAAAGTGGGTTTGTTCAACTGAATACCAGACATAGGTGGGGGGAGGCAAGTGAATGACAGGGGAAGTAAAGGAGGAATGTTCTCCAGTAAAGTTGAGTTGTGGAAGCTGGGTGTGTATCCCTGTCCTAGAGAGTCTAATGCATGTTAGTTTATTAGTGCCTGACAAGTCAGAAAGAGGCTGGAGAACTTTATTTCAGCTAGTATTTGTCAACCTTGTTTAAATAACACCTGTTACCACCAGAAAACTAGTAAGATATTTGAACAAACTTAAACCACCTGGTTAAGGTTTGATTCCATTTCTGTAATGGACCCTGTGTGCAAGGGGGTCTTTGACAAGGGGGCTCCTGTTGTAAAACGTGGTTCTCGGTGTTGGCTGTGCACCACCTGGGGAGCTGCAGAATTACTGACTCTACAAGGAAGGGGGTGAGGGGGGTCCCACCTCATGAAATGATGATTTCACTTTTTAGGGACTACTGTATGGAGGGTCACCGTTTTCAAAATTTGTGGCATGAAGAGGTCCAGGGGTGGCCCACCTTTTGGTGTCTCCAGGCCACACATTAAATACACAAACACTAGTGAACACTGATGAGCAAAAGAAAAACATTTTCTAAGTGAATTTGTGATTCCGTGTTGGGCTGCCTTCATAGCCACCCTGGCCGTGGGTGGGACACCCCTGCACCCTGTTCTCTGGTTTCTCCCCACTGCCAACCCGTCCCTTCTCTATAAGAAAAGCGTGCAACTGTCCCTTCGGGGCTCAGCTTTGGAGCATCTTGAATAAGGCCCTGAACTTTATTAGAAAGTTCCTGACTTTTGAAACGTCAAATCCCAAGAAAAAGCCTAATTTAATAGTTGCTAAGACCAGGTACTTTAGACCTGGCTGGTGTGGCTCTGTGGATTGAGTGCCAGCTTGCAAACTGAAAGGTCGCAGGTTCCATTCCCAGTCAGGGCACATGCCTGGGTTTCGGGCCCCAGTTGGGGTGTGTTTCTCTTCCTCCATTCCTCACTCTAAAATAAAGAAATAAAATCTTTAAAAAATAAATAGAACCAGTATTTTAGGCAAAGGTTCTTACTTCTCTGTTACATGGCTTTGAGTGATAGAGACTAGATTCTGTATGATGGCAGTTCTGTGATTTTCAGTGAAAATATATGTTAACATTGTATGAAAATTCCTAGCTATGGCAACCATGATGTTCCAGAATACAGTCTTAAATCTGAAAGTGAGCAAAAAGGCCTCACTCCAGAAATAGCTGACCCAAAACAACATTAAAATCTAGCCCTCGGGCTCTTATGGAGTTATTAACATACACACTTTGACAGTTTCCTTTCTGGTTTCTTTGGCTCACAGAAAAATTAGAATGGAAATGGGCGGAGAGAATGTAGAGGCAGTCAAGGTGACATTAACGAGTCAAAAAAAGTCAAATACTTCCTAGTGTTTAAAAATGCAGAAAAAGTTTGAAAATGTCACAATCGCCATAGGAATTTCTGAAATTCTGTTAAGTACCCTGTCTTCATTTTCTTTAAAAGTGCCCCCCCCCCCCCATCGAGGCATCATCTAATAAAGCCTGCGGGACCTCCTGATGAGGCCTGTGATATGCAGGCAAGTGTTACCCTGGGGAGAGGCAAACACGGCACGGCCTTGCCCTCGTGCAGGTTCGTCGGACCTTGGCTGCGCTTTGTGCCCCTTTCCTCCAGTTCATTACCGCCCGAGAGAGATGAGCTTCGACTTGCACAGTTTGTTTGCATTGGCTGTAATATTGAAAAGCATTTGCCATGGAATAGCATCGAATTTGTAAGTGTAAAATAAGAGCAGCTTTTTAAAAGTGTTTATCGACCTTTTTCCTGCTTCTTTATGATAGCTGCACACTCACGGTAAATTCCCATTATAGGTGGTTTTACGGTATAGATTCTGGAGTCAGGTAAACTGAGATCACTGTGACCTCTGGTCTGCCCATATCCTTAATCTTTGTGTCTTGGTTGCTTCCACCATAGGGATAGTAACAGTACTAAATTTGGGGGTTGTGAACTGACCTAATTAATATAATCTCCAAAAAAAGGTAGTTGCTGTTTTGTTATGTAACTAACAGTTACAGTCATTGTGCATTTGCTGGATGCTTGTTCTTACCACACTCCTTTCTCTTCCGATGGAGTGTGCTCTGGAAACCCTCACCCAGTATTTCTGTTTTGGGTGTCTGAAGTGTTAAATTGTGTCCAAAGTTAGCTGTAACATTTAAAATTCTGTGATAACATGTGAAAATGTGAATTTCTGGTTTCTCCCTTGAGATGGGACAGCGGGGTATGGGCCTGCAGCAGTCGCTGGCAGCAGGGGGAGCCGACTGGGTGCCTCTTTGAAGAGAAGAAGAAGGCTGCCCCCGCCTCTCCCCGCTCTGTCACCTGCCTCGCCCCAAGTGCACTTGAGGCCTCTCTCCTCTCTGCCTGTGGAGAGCCTGGCCTTCAGGAAGTTTCCTCCAAGGGGCAAGCACCAGACACTTGAGCCCCTGGACAGACTAGGTGTGGCGACTTGGGCTTCTCTCCGCGTGGGTTGGGAGCAGGCCCTGTCAGTGACTTAGTGAACAAAGTAGGACTTACTTTTGCTTGCGTGTGTTCATATCTGAATTCGGTTACATAGGGTGTCTTTATTGCTGAAACCATTTCTTCTAAAATGGGCGAGGTAGACTCGTTTTCCCTTCAGATGTGTAGATGGGGATGGATGAAAATAGCTCAGTTGCTCTGTAGCAAACTTGCTCAAGTGCATAAGTTATACTTAGCTCTGCAACGGGAGTCCCTAAAGCTGTGTGAGAAGGAAAGGCTTGCTGACTGGGGGGGGTCAGATTTCAGACCTTCATTAGTAGCCCCACAGCAGTTGCTAAGACCGGGGCAGCATTTAATGTTTGATTTTCAATGGACAGGTGTTAAGAATGCTTAAGTATGTTTGCTCAAACATTAATTAAACTTAGCTTTAGGGGTAGCTGGAGTGTTGCTGTTTGTTGAGCTGACAGTCGGTGGAGGAATCCAAAGTGTCTTCCTAACCTGTAGGAAGGAAGCTTACTGGAGTTGGAACGCCGTGACTGCTGCTCAGTACCCAGCTCATAGTATGCGTTTGGTCTGATGTGGTTGAATGAAGAAAGACAGGGAGAAAGGTACGCCTTAGATCAAAAGGGTGAGCAAACTGGCCCATGGCCTGCTTTGTGCAGCCTGGGAACTAAGAGTGGTTTTTACATTTTCAAAGGATGATATTCGAAGCATATGTGACAGAGAGTCCTTGTGGCCCACACTCAGTATCTTACTTTACAGAAAAAGTTCAGCAGCCCCTGCTTTAGGTCGTGGAGATGTGAATGCCTCTCTCCTTTTCATTCCCACCACGTTCCATGTACCTAAATAATCCCTGTAGATGGTGCTGTGTTTGTTACCGACTAGTGAATAGTACTGAGTGATTGCCAGGCATAAGAAAGCTTTTAATAAGAAGCAAAGGAATTGCTGGTATGAGTAGTTAATAAAATCCAGACTAACGGTGGTTTTAAGTCTTCGAGAACTGCTTTGAAGCGTCATTGAGTCTTTGTACTATACGATGTCGACAAGTTTTAGAACTGGAAGAAAACATCGAAGTTCTCTTGTCCAGCCATTCATAACGTAAGGGGAGGAAATAAAGGATTTCTCCAACGGAAATCACTTTTTGGAAGCATAGCCTTTCCCAGGCTGCCGTATCTGTGGAACAGGGGACAGTGGGACCGTCCCTCGGGCAGGTTACTGACCTCTCTTTTCTGCAGCGTCGGCATCTGCTGTAGTTATAATGGTGCCTGCCTCATAAGCTGTCAGGAGGAGTGAGTTTCTGTTGGTAAAGCATTTAGAACAGTGAGTGGCACTAATACATAGGAACTATATTAGTGCTTGTTAAATGAATAAAGAAGGCAGTGGTTACAGAAGCATAATGGTCAATTTTAATAATTGGTATAAAAGCGTGAGACCTCATTCCCAGAGTTAACTATGGCTGTTAAAACACTGGATAGACAGTGCCTCTGATCCTTGGTAAAGTGCCAGGGTTGATATTTTTGGTACCTGAAACCTAATCTTGATAATAAGTACTCCCTGCTCCTTTGTTTACTGTTCACATGTCTGAGATTTTAATGTCTGAATTATTCAGCTCAGGTAGACCTTCACTCGATTTCTTAGTACTTTAACATCAGATTTCATATGAATTCTCACAGCACCTTTTCAGTCTTGCCATTTCAGTCTTGCTAAATGCTATATTAGAACTAGAGTTATTAAGTTGTACCTTTGGCATATTTTATGTTCTCAGAGAAAACAGAATCAACTGTTTTACTTGATAATGAACTCCAGAGAAAATGAATCAAATCTATTGTTCTAATTAGGATTCCAAAATCCTGAATTGAGAGTGGTGACTTAGAAATGAATTATCCGTATTTTTTTACCAAGTCCAAAGAATATGCCACTACCAGGTTGGCATTTAGGTGGGATGCTTTTATTTGAAAGCTTAATTAAGAAGCCTTACTTGAAATATTTTTTAATAGGCTAACATTATTTTCTTACAGTTTGCGGTGCTGATGTGGGTATTTACGTACGTTGGTGCCTTGTTCAATGGCCTGACACTACTGATTTTGGGTAAGTCCACAAACACACTGGGGTGGAAAATTGCAGGAAAACAATTGTGCGCCAGGAGCTTAGAGATTTTATTGGAGAGCGTGCTTATTATATTGTAGGAAAAATAGAGATGTGTTTGAGGTTGTGATCTCTTTAAGTAAATTGCTGATGCTGTTTACTGAAATGCTACTTTAGTTCCTGAAGGCTGCTCCAACTAACAGTGATAAAGCAGAACGAGGGGGGCCTTGTCAGACGGTACAGTCATAAATGTACCTAACCACATAGCACCTGTGTGTTAGGAGCCGGGCATGGTTCTTGCAGCCTCCCGTGGTTGTTTGCTCGCTCTGGAGAGGCGCCCCACCACACCAGCAGGTGCACCCAGGAGAGCCTGTGTATTTTTCCTTCATTGGGAACACGGCCTGAGTAGCTTAAGACTGTTTCTAGTTTGATGACTTCGTAGTGTTTGTTCCCTCAGTCACACCAGTCTGTTTTAAAGGTTGTGTGTTTCCTTTTTCAGCTCTGATTTCACTCTTCAGCGTTCCTGTTATTTATGAACGGCATCAGGTAATTCCTTAACTGCAGATTTCAGAATAAAGAGCTCACTTTATTATGTGGAACTTAGAAATGTATCCGTGCCAGTTTCATAAGTCTTAAAAAAAGTGGTGGCTTCTTTTGCCTTTAATTTGTTGGGTCATAGTGATGGTTAATCAGATTCTTTAGCAATGTTAATTTTCTAATAACTTCTTTATACTTGTCTTTCAGGCACAGATAGATCATTATCTAGGACTTGCAAATAAAAATGTCAAAGATGCTATGGCTAAGTAAGTATTTAAAATCTGCAACTTTTTTTAAAACCCAGAATAAGGTGTACTGTTGAGAACAGTGCAGTATTTTTTTGTTTCAGGCATAATGACTGTAGCAAATTAGACATAAAGTGTGATACAATTGCCAAAAGATTTTTTCCTAACATTTGGGTAATTTATTTCTATGTTTACTCTGTGTTTTTAAGGCTTTGTTTAAAACTAATTCATGAGGCCACAGTAGCAAAATTATAGCTTGTAACTTGACATTTAGGATTTCATTTCTTACATAAGCTGAGCGCTACACAAGTAGTTCTTGAAGGATAGCATTCTAAGAAGCAGAAAACAAGATGCTTCAGATTTAAAATTTTTTACATTGACCTTTTCCTCTCCTCCTTTCCATTTGTAGAATCCAAGCAAAAATCCCTGGATTGAAGCGCAAAAATGAGTGAAAAAAAAGCCTGAAATAATTAACAGTAGGAGTTTATCTTTAAAGGGGGTCTTCACGTGATTTCATGGGGGAGGGTTGGGGAGAACAGCACCTGGACAATGCGGCTTCGCAGATCTTACTTTCAGGGCGCAGCGTCCGGGGAGACGTGCCTCTCTGGACCGCCGCTTGCTCTTCACCTTAAGTATTGTGAGCTGCTACGTGTGGATTTGAACCGTAATCGTACTTGTTTCTCCTATAAGAGGCACTGGTGAATAAAACAAGATCTGAGAAAGCTGTGTATCATACTTTGTTGCAGGTAGTCTTGCTGTATTTGGGGAATTACAGAGAAAGTGGAGCTGAAAAAAAAAATAACCCTTTTCACAGTTCGTGCGCTGTGTATGGTCTGTGTAGAGTGATGCAGATTTTCTGAAATGTTTAGACGAGATCATACCACTAAAGCAGAAGTGAAGAGGCTTGCCTTTCTGGTATGTTCTAGGTGTATTGTGAATTTTACTGTTATATTAATTGCCAATATAAGTAAATATAGATTATATATATATCTATATATAGTGTTTTACAAAGCTTAGACCTTTACTTTCCAGCTTCCCCACAGTGCTTGATATTTCAGAGTCATTGGTTACATGTGTGTAACACGTTTCAAATACATAGCAGAAAAAATATATTTCTAGGAGAACTACCATCTGTTTCCAATGTGAAATGATGCCATGCACAGAGAACTCACCATTTAAACTTCTTGCACAGACTCACCGTAGTTAATTCTGTCACAAACTCTGAATCTGTGGACTGAATCTAATGCTTCCAAAAATATTGTTTGCAAATATCAAACATTGTTATGCAAGAAATTATAAAATGAAGATTTATACAATTGTGGTTTAAGCTGTACTGAACTAAATCTGTGGAATGCATTGTGAACTGTAAAAGCGAAGTATCAATAAAGCTTATAGACTTAAAAGATGCTTGGTATTTTGGTTTCATGGAGTTGCAGCAGATTAAAAGTACGCACGAAGGGGGTATGGACTTTGCTTCAACCAGGGAGGGATTGTTAGAAAGGTTTTCAGCTCATTGTGCAGCTGTGTTTACTTTGAAAACTTCCAATCAAATTTACTTGACATACCAAAATGTGTTTAAATTATGTATTCTTATACTTTGATAATTGAAAATAAATTCATGCACCAATATTTTAACACAGAATACAGTGCAGGATTTGTGAACATAAAATCATACCATATAAATATTTACTAATAAGATTTAAGAAGTTTTCTTGACACAAAGACACTATTGCTCTTTAAATACAGTTGTACATATCATTGATCAATTTATTGTTCTCCCATATGGTTAGTTCAATGCAAGATTGAGTCAGTATGAAAGGTCAGTGGTACAATATAGGCAGACATGGTTATCACTTGGTGTCACCAGTCACGTGGTTACAGGAAACAAGTAGGACTGTGGGCCCAACAACCTATCAGTGGGTTAATGTAAGGCATTAATAAATTGGCATATAAAAAATAGCTTAATGAATGATCTAATCCATTTAGAATGCTGAAGCACTTCTGTGGTAAATGTTAATCTAATTGAAAATGCTTCATTTCACCTTTCCCCTAAACTGACAGCTAGCCAGTAATTCAAGATCCAAAATCAGCCCACTGACGGGAAGGATTCGGTGGCACATGCCCGTGCGCTCACGGTCCCCAGGGCCTGCCTGCCGAGTGGACAGTGCCATTGCGGTGATTTGAAGCTGTCTTCTGGTCAATATTGTCCAAGTTAGATTATTTTCTTTTGTAATCTTGATTTATCAAATATTGCTTGGGTTTAGGAATTTGTTCAGCAGAGAATTTTCTTAAAATTCAGACTTGCCCATATAGTTAGTTCAGAAGCAAATAGTAGTGTGGAGTCAACCCAACTCTAGGAGGGTAAAAACCCAGTCAGCCTCAGATTACCGCATTCATTACTGTTTTAGATTTAACAAGATAAATCAGCTTATCTTCCTGGAACTGTTTTTTTTTTCCTTCTATTCTGTAGTAGAGATTTGTTTTTATTTGAATTCTATTTTGGATTTTGTGGGTTTGGCACTAAACATAATGAAAACCCATTCTATTCCTTCCCTCCCTCCTGAGTGTATTTCTTTGTTGCTCACCTTCCTATGGCCACTATTTCCCAAGCAGGTAACTGATGTCCTTCCTTTGGGAAGCCTTGACATAAACACATGACACAGGTGACAGACCAGGAATCTGCTAAGGGTCCTGTAGCCCTCCTCAGTTTCGAAGTTTTAGCACCTTATGTAGAAAGGAGATAATCTGTGGGAGGTGAGACGGCAGCCCACACAACTGGAAACTTTCAAAGGCACTTAATGGATATAAAACTCTGCAAACAAAATGTTAAAAAATTAAGTTTCTCAACTTGTTTATACATGGCTCATTTGGTTTTGAAAGCTAAATGTGGAGAACAGAGGCTATCAATAGTTCTAGGACTTGGGTTTTTCTAACTTAAGCTGTCTTGTTCAACTTATTTGTAAAAATGAACAGTTTTAAAGTATATAGAAACAATAGCAAAACATCTTTTGTAAAAGTTTTGATGCAAATTAAAAGCTACATATTGGTTAGGGTAAATGAGGCTTTAAATTTTGTCAGTGGGCTACATTGTCAGATAGGATTTTTTCTGTTGTCAGTGTTGTTAGTATGTATAGTTTTTAGTCTCAGGAACAGAGGCAAGCAGTCTTAACATCTGAGAACTGATCTTCCTTCTCGCCATCACAGTTCTGGAGAGTCCCGAGTCTGGGTGCAGTCTTACCGCTTTGCTAGCGCGGAGCTTGTGCGGCGGAGCTTGTGCGGCCCGCAGCATGGAGGCGATTCCAGCAGCCGGTGGCGAGGTGTCTCACACCGCCTCTGCGGTTGCCGGGTGGGAGCAGCAGCAGTACAGTGAGAGGTTCTGGCATTTATAGACATCGCCACACAAACACACTGGAAAAGCAGATCAGACAGTCCTTTTAGACGGCTGCACGCACACTTCTATCCCGTGACAAAGCACAGCCCTGCCAGTGCTCCAGAGTCAAGATTAGGTGATGCAGTGAACATGTCTATGTCAATTTAAAAAAAAAAAAAAAGGAAACCAGAAATCTTGGAACTAATTAAAAATCTACTGCTTTTTTATCTTTACAGGTCTATTGTTTTTTGTTTGGTTTGGCTCTTTCAGCAGCCGGAGTCTCTATGCTCAGTGTGAGGACTGTTGACAATTTGCCTTCACACTATCTCTCTTGTTAGTGCTGAAAAGGTTTTATCAACTCCACTTGAGCAGCGAGCCAGGGATCACACTATGCTCCCAGGCTACAAAGGCCGCTTCTAAGCCTTTTGTAGCAATCAAAAGTCACCTGCACCTCCTGGTGACTGGTTTACTTCTCATCGCTGGCTCGTGCACAATTTGGCTGGTGCTGTCCTGAGTGGGTGTTCGCACTCCACAGGGAGCTGCCGTCAGTCCTATCTTAAGGGCTCTAAGTGCCGGCAGCAGCTGGCACTGGAGACGGCTGCTCACAGGCAGGCCGTCAGGCGTCCTTTGGGGCCACGTTCTACATAATGCTCTCCAGAAGGAAGTGGGTGACGTTCTCTGCAGCGCCGTAGACCACTTGAACATCTAGAATTGCATGCATTTCTTCTCCATCCTCTGCCCCCAAGAGTTTTGCTTGGGTTGAACAGAAACCAGTGTTCATGTTGCATTAAAGCTCTTCAACTACATGTGGAGAAGCCGAGCGACTTAGAATGAGCTTGTCCCGTCCCTCCACACTCCACGTGGGCCGAGTGTGGAAGGACAGAAGAGAGCTGCCTTGGAAATGCCGGAGGGGCTGATTCATCTCTAGAGCTAGTAGGGGGGCTTCCAACATCACTGTGAGAGCAGTCGCACCTCACAAAGCAATGTGCCCATTTTGCACTGAGCAATGGTTAAGGTCAAAAGCAGCCCTGGCTTAGGAGTCCAAGTAAACTAGTTGAGGTTCTGCCTCTAACTCGCACTGGGCCTAATGGCCTCTCCCCTCCTCTGGTCTTTTATGTAAAATTGGGCAACACTTGCCATGCTTGCTTCTCAGGAGGCTGAGGTTCCATGTTATTATTTTGAAGCCTCTTGGTTGTGGATTAATCACTGGTCTTAGGAATTCTGGTGATCAGTTGGAAGTTACGAGGATCAAGCACATTCTAACCTGACGGTCTGGAATGGCACTACGGCTTGTCTGGGAGCTCCCACTGAAGTGGGCCGTGCTGGGTCTCCCCGACCTGTCCCCTCCGTCCAGCAATGCCCGGAGTGGCTATTGCATGCCCTGGGCTTCTCACCAGGACAGTCCCAGGACAGTTCTAGTGGACACACAGTTCTGTCGAGACATGGGTTGGGAGTCACTGGACACTAAATACCTTAAACTGGGAAAGACCCTATCTTCCTTAGGACTCCCGGGATTTCCTGTTCACTGTCCTCCTTGGCGCCCCCCCACGCCCCTGGGTGGGGGGTGCGGGGGAACAGCGGAGACCAGGCCTGGGGCGTAACAGCCACATTAATCAGGTTAGTACCTGCAGTCGTCTCCTCCAGTGCTGACCACATACTTGTCATCGTGCGAGAAACGGATGTTCGTCACGTGAGCCGAGTGACCAAAGTAACGTTTGTGTTTGGCCTGTGAGCAAAAGTGAACAGAGACGGCTGAGAGACCCTGCTCCTCCTGGGAACCTCGGACCACGTTCCCTGAAGGACACAAAGCCCCGCTTGCCAGAACCTTCCTTCACTCAAGATTCCCACTTGGTCTGAAATCTGTTAGCCAGCCTTTCACTGACTTTCCTGTCTCCTCCTTGCCCCAGTTACAGCCATTTTGTCCACCCCCATCGTCCCTTCTCCTGGCTGCCAGGACTCCCCCTCCAGAGGGGGGGAGATGAAAAGGTTCGGGGTTGCCAGATTCCCAGAGGGCTGGAACGAGGTTCCTCGTGTTTTAGATTCTAGATGGCTGTCTAGGTGTGGTCGCCATCTCCGGCACAGTGCAGAAAACCCAGGGCGTGGGGGCAGTGTGGGGAGGTTCCTCTGAGAAAGACTCACAAATTTTTCTGTGCATGGGAAATCAAAGAGCTTCACGAGCCCAAAGTCATCTCCTGTGACAATGTTCAGGCCAGCATGGGTCACACACGCGCAGTTAACATCAGCCTTGTCTGCGTTTCGTGGCCAGATGCCAATGACCTCGTCTCCCAGAATGCTGTTCCAACAGGAAGAGGTGTTAAGAGGAGGCCTGTGAGAAGCCCTCTTGCAGTCGGACGTCCTCTCTCAGGGGTAAGAGGGCAAGAGGGTTATTTTACATAACACCAGTATGGTCAGGTGGCTCTTCTGGCCCCTGTACATTTGCCCCAGCTCTTGTCCTCTGCCTGGGGCCTTTTCACCCCCAAGAGAAAAGTTACCTCCATCTCTGATTCTCTCCCACCTCCCTGTAGTCCTGAGTATGCATATGTTTGAGAGAAGAGTGGGGGCTCCTTCAAGCTCACAGGACAATGGTCTCTTTCCCCTTCCACTGGCAAGGCACTGTTTCTTATCCGGCTAACTGGCAGTTCCAGCCCTCCCATTTTTCCCGGTGATCACGAGGGCTTGGTCAAGGGCTGGGAGATGGTTTCCCTTTGTTGGCTGGATGGGAGTGGGGATTTGTAGGGTTGGTTACACAAAAAGAGGGACTTTGCATCTCAAGGCCCAGGTCAGATCGAATCCAGTGGCCCAAACTGGTACCAAGAAGCCTTCTGCCCCCACCTCCAAAGAGCAGCGCTCTTATCTCTCTTCTTCAGACCCAGCTACCCACAGACTTGGAGGCTGAGCCCGGGACAAGAGACTCCCTTGTGACCTTTTCCTCAAGAAGTGTTTTCCTCCGGTCACCTTGTCCAGGAGGCCCAGGTGATCTTCTCAATGACTGTGGCTTCGGTTACCTGCTTCCCCAGGGGCACCTCATGCACCTG